AACCCAACCCGACTCTTTCTGTGACAACATCGGGGTAAATTGTATAATTTCCACTACTGACAATTTCTTGTGGTACCTCTCATGAACACCTCCCAATCCAAGGAGCAAATGAAAGGTGATGCCTTTGGGAACCAGCGACAGCTGCCATCAGAAAATCAGAAAATCAGAAAATCCCCTCTTTGTGACACAGAACTTTCACTGCTGGCTGCTGCCAGCGCCCTCCTCAGCACCCAGCCCTCCAGGTAACTCCTGCAAGCCACATCTGCAACCCCGTGGTGTTTCCAAAATCAATTTCTGAGCACAACTTCATCCCTGTCACTTCGCCTGGGTGTGAAGCCATTGCCCCCAGGCCATTTGAGCTCTGGAATGGCACTTGCAGCAGACTCTGCACCTCGGAATTGCGTGGGAAATGCAGAGTCCTCAGTGCAGAGTCCTCCCAGAAAAGAAGGGGAAGAACTCCCGGTTAAATTTCCACCACCTTCATTTATTTTTATTTTTTGTCAATAACAACTACAAGGTAAAAAAACTAAAATTTTTTACTATTAATTTAGTTTTGTTTTTAATACTTAGAACAAACCTGTCTCTGGTAGTCATTTTTCATTGTCTTTCCCCACAGAACTGTGAGTCCAAGCTTAACAGGAGAACTCAGGGAATTTAATTTCATAAATTGATCTTGGAAAGTCAAAGCACCTTGGAAGTCCCATCTTTGAATCTAGCTTTATTATCTCTGTTTATATTTTGCTGTAAAAATGCATGGACTGAAAATATAAAATATTTTACTCAAGCTGTTCAGACAGAGTCCAGATGCAGAGGAACCTGTGCCTTTCCTACCAGCCTAGAATGAATCCCATTAATCCACATTAAAATGTGAAAACTGAAGAGAAAAGGAGAAATATTCAGCTGGGGAAATATTCAGCTAAAGAGCTCCTGGATCTTTTGATTGGAGTTCAGCAAAGAGACAGCGAGTTTAACATAATCTGGATTCCAACGCACAGCAACAATCCCATTCCTTTGGATTGTGCATCTCAATTTTCTTCTGACTCTGATCATTGCTCTCCTTTCATTGATTCTGCTTTGAGCTGGGAGGGAATTTTGGGAGTCTGCATTGTTCCCAAAAGGATCTCCCTGGAGCTGTGACCACGAACAGCTCTGGGTTTGTGTCCCTGCACAAATTTGTGGGGGTCAGAGCTCAGGTTTGGGTTCTGTGCCATGGAGGGAGCCCAAACCCCACCAGGAGCAGCTGATTCAAGGGGATCTCACTGATCAGTCCCTGATATTATTCCGTTACCAATGGAGACCCAAATCCATTTTTAAGGTCCAGAACCCAAAGCTTGCCCTTGTTCCAGCAGCCACCTCCTCCCCTCTGCTGAGGTTTCTCATTTATTGCAGCAGGCAGGGGACAGATCTCCCTTGCCAGCAAGCAGATGTTCACCAAGAAGGTTTTGCTAACTGATCAATTGCAAAATCCCTCACTGCAATCCTTCAGAAAATCAGATGCCCTCTGTCCTTCCTCCCACTCCGGCTCACTTGCCAAAACTTACATACAAAATTATTACTGTAATGTTTTATAGTCACTGGGAAAAAAAATAAAATATCCATTTGGTCTTACAGAATGATGTGAAATGAATCTGTGGCCTCAAAAGGAAAAAAAAAAAGTCTATTAAAAGTAGCTCTTTTTCCTCCCTCCTCCCTCTCCCAGGCCCCTTTCGCTCCCCTCCCCCAACAATAAAGGATGTTTTGGAACAGCCTTTTCAGGAAACATTTCCACAGCAAAATGCAGCATCATTTATAATATTTAAAGCTACATTTTTGTTGAGATGGCTTGGCAGGCTTTGCTTGCAAATCTGGCAGGATATGGCCAGCTGAGAGTTCGCACTAACGGGCTGAGGATATGCTGACACAACAGAACGCTTTAATCGCCCCTGCAGCAGCAGGACAGGATCCTGTCCGGCTCTGCCAGCTCTTCCCAGGGTGAGAACCAATGGAGCAGCGAGCTCCTCCTTCCCTCCCTGCCTCTGGAGACTCCAGCCCTCCCTGCTGTCTCCAAGAGCTGGAAGAGCCTCCCTGGGTAACAGCACAGCACAGAATGAGCAATGGATGCTCCTCTTGGCTCTGCTCAAAGTGCTCCCCACTTCCAGCACCACCAGGGAGCTCAAAAATTGAGAAGAAAGCCCTTAACCAGTTTGTGTCCCAATGGAAGGGCTATTTTCACTGGCAGCCAAAGCTCTTTATTTGGCTTTACCCCTTTGTGAAGCAGGGCTTGGAGCCACGTTCAGTTTGCAAAATCCCAACTGGAAACTCGTCCTGCTTGAGAGCTGGGAGCTGATCTCAGCCACTCGCAGAGAGCTCTCAAAGCAAATTAATTGCACATTTCAAAGGAGTCCTGAAGCATTTAACCCCAAAAATCTGAGAGCTGCTGCCTTGACTAATGCCTGCCCAGAGCAAGACTTGCCCAGAGAGTTCCTGCCCCAGGATCCAGCCAAGCTACAGACTTGCAATACTTCAATATTCACCACATTCAGCAATAAAGATGCAGTAAAAGAGATTGTGATTTGAGGAAACCTTTCCTATTTTGGGAGCCTATAAATTTAGAGGTGCTGTTCACTGGCTTTGGTGCACTGAAACTTCTTGCAAACACCAAGTCCATGGGGCATCTGGCTCTTTAGGAAAAAATAAAGGTAAAATCCTGCACACACACAGATCTAACCCTATTACACTGCATCCAAAGCTGTGGAATCATTTCCTCCTTTCTTCCTTTGCTGGCTCAGTCTTTGCCTCCTGAGTGTTTACCTCGGGCCAGTGAAGATGTGCTGCCTAATTTCCTCTGCATCCCCTGCGTGTCCAAAGGAAAATCCAGAAATTCAGGAATTGTTTTTCCTGCTCCCACCATTTCCAGGGCTCAGAAGAGTGGAGCTGCACATTCCTTGTGTCTGTAGGCTTGGATACAGCTCTGTGCAGCTGATTTTTAACCCCTGGTTTTCAGAACAGCCACTTGGAATGGGATTTATGACGAGACCCATAATTTTTTCCAGTGTTTGAATGAGAATCTGAGTTGTTTGACTGGTGTGGGACTGAGCTGCTGAGCCAGGAGGGGTTTGCTGGGGATTTTCCCCCTCATATTTGTTTTCCTTCTTCCAGCTGCAGCTTTGTATTGCTTGTGTTTGCAAAGTTGGTGTGACATCCATTTAAGGGATATCACCTCTTATTTAAAAGAAAAAAAGTCCCATTGAAATGCTCTTAACCTCAAGACAGAGTTTGCAGCTACAAATCAAACATTAAATGCTGATCCCTCAGGGCTTGTCTGTGCCCACAGTGGCTGGACCTGAGATGTGTCAGATGGGGAAGGGGCTCAGCAGCTCTTGGCAAGCCCATTTCCCATTTCTCATTTCTCATTTCCCATTTCCCATTTCCCATTTGCCATTTCCCATTTCCCATTTTCCATTTTCCCATTTCCCATTTTCCATTTTCCCATTTCCCATTTTCCCATTTCCCATGTTTTAGAGTGCTGAACCTGTGATGTGTTAGCTGGGGAAGGGGCTCAGCAGCTCCTGGCAAGTCCATTTCTCATTTCTCGTTTTCCATTTCCCATTTTCCCCTTTCCCATTTTCCCCTTTCCCATTTCCCATTTCCCATTTCCCATTTTCCCATTTCCCATTTCACATTTTTTCCCATTTTCCATTTCCCATTTTCCATTTTCCCATTTCCCATTTTCCCATTTTCCCATTTCCCATTTCCCATTTTCCCATTTCCCATGTTTTAGAGTGCTGGACCTGAGATGTGTTAGATGGGGAAGGGGCTCAGCAGCTCCTGGCAAGTCCATTTCTCATTTCCCATTTTCCATTTCCCATTTCCCATTTCCAATTTTCCCATTTTCCATTTTCCCATTTTCCCATGTTTTAGAGTGCTGGACCTGAGATGTGTTAGCTGGGGAAGGGGCTCAGCAGCTCCTGGCAAGTCCATTTCTCATTTCTCGTTTCCCATTTCCCATTTCCCATTTTCCCATTTCCCATTTCCCATTTTCCATTTTCCCCTTTCCCATTTCCCATTTTCCATTTTCCCATTTCCCATTTTCCATTTCCCATTTCCCATTTCCCATTTTCCCATTTCCCATTTTCCATTTCCCATTTCCCATTTCCCCCTTTCCCATTTTCCCATTTCCCATTTCCCATTTCCCATTTTCCCATTTTCCCATTTCCAATTTTCCCATTTTCCATTTTCCCATTTCCCATTTGCCATTTCCCATTTCCCATTTTCCCATTTCCCCCTTTCCCATTTTCCTATTTTCCCATTTCCAATTTTCCCATTTTCCATTTTCCCATTTCCCATGTTTTAGAGTGCTGGACCTGAGATGTGTTAGATGGGGAAGGGGCTCAGCAGCTCTTGGCAAGTCCATTTCTCATTTCCCATTTTCCATTTCCCATTTTCCCCTTTCCCATTTTCCCATTTCCCATTTCCCATTTCCCATTTTCCCATTTCCCATTTCCCATTTCCCATTTCCCATTTCCCATTT